GAAAGAAGAGAAAAGATTGAAATGGGGCCTAACAGTGCAATCATCCAATTGTCTTAGTTAGTTGGATGTTTTAAAGACGTTATTGCCAAATGATAGAACTTCAGAATTAAGAGCTCTTTTAATTTTATTTTCCGCAATGTGTGGAAAAAATAATCTAGTTCAGCCGTCTTCAACACATCGGCATTGTCGTTTGCTTCAATACTYGAATTACCTCTACGCAACTAATTTTATATCATAATCTTTGCCTACATTTAGGAAAATCATTAAATAACCACACTTTTTTATGTTATTGTAGTTAAGTGAGGTGAATAGTTATAAGGACGCGACAATTTCGTGACTAACTATTCCCGTATCTTTATTGAGAAGACAGTATTAATTTCACTCATAATAATGAATGGGTTATACGGTCTGATCAAGTTTCATATATAGTTTCCTTCTCACGCCCATTTATCCTGAATTCGCCAAACTACTGCGTATTCATTCATATTCAGCAAATAAGTCAGTGACATTTAATATACCTATTCTCGTTCAACAAAGTAACAAACCTAACATATCATGGCTTCGCATTTTGTTTTAAATCTAGAGTGTCCTCGTATTAGAGAACAGCCCACGGGAAAAGTGCTCTTAAGTGTGGACTAAAACACGCCCGGAAACCCAATGGTATTTAATACCCCAATATCTCATGAAATCTCAGCTGAAGAAAACATTAGCAATACACGCGTCAGGAACAACTTGGAAAATCGAATGTCATGTGGACTTGAATGGTTGGCGAGGTTCATAGATAATATCTTGGATTAATAACAGGAAGGCCCTTAAAATCTACCGGTTATTCTACATCCTCATAATATGTATTGTTTTCTGCTGGGAAGTCGTATGAGTATGGATGTCATTAATGATAAGCATTTTGCCCTGAAGCRGGATTTTAAAAATAGCCCATACTCAAAAAGATATCTGCGTTAGAATAGAAGCTAGCAAATATCACGGCAAACAAGATAGAAGTATTTCTAAAAACCGTGACACATTTCTGGAATTGTGGTGATGTTAATTGATCAAATCAAACGGCCCATCACTCACTCAATCAGCAAAAATATGATGYACTAAGTAGTCGGCTACTTTAACTATCTTCACAGCCCTCTCAATCGATGTACTATAGGCAAGAACTTTTAGCGGTTCTTTCACGGTATACCACTTTTAGAATAGTGATGTGCAAACAACTATTAAGCAAGTCAAATGATTTTGTAAGACATTAATCCCCCAAACATGCATTTTGTCTTACTTTGTTTACTTCACCACGATCCTTTATTGACTGGAAAATGTTCTTTTGTCATCTCAACTAATTATGATTCCACGTCCAATGGCACAAATCTTTTACCTATATTAGTCTCTGAGTACATACAATGTTCGTCACTGAAACAACCACTTTTTACCTTTCAAAGTGCCTAATCAGCTAGCTATTAAAGTTGCCGCGTTACTAATAAAGTTTTCTCGTTTTACAGACTGTGGATATTTTAAGAGCGTACTCGACATGAATGAATTGCCTTCTTACGAGAAACATAAGAAACATAAATCACACGATAGACGAGGGTCCAGAAGTTTTAACGTGGGCATTACGCTTTTGCTGTTCATAATTTAATCCGCTTTAAAGGTGYAGTGGTTTAGAAAACAGTGAATTCCTTCACGAGTTAAGCTAAATAAACACTATACTGGCTTCCTTTCGTAATCATAAAAAGGGGACTATAGTCACTTTTGTTTTTAATGAAAAAAGTAATATAATCTTAAYATGAAATATATGTACTTGGTCGTACCCGCTAAAAAATAAGGAATAAACTTTATGAAGTAGAATACGATAATTACTGGAGTAATCTGTACTTACCAGTGTGGAGTTCCCTTGTCTTGTATACCACAAATATAACCAGCGAGTTGCCAATGGTTGCAATGAGAAAGATGATGATATAGATAGCAAGTCTTATAACTCTCATTCCCAATGGCTCTAGTACAACAGGAGGCGCCGCTGTAGCGTTGACCATGGCTCCATCCATGTTGGTTTTTACTCAGTAATCTACACTGTGTACGTATTGTACTCAACACAGTGTCTTTTTGTGCCTTCTTTTCGTCAATAAAGTCTAAGCAGTTTTCTTCTTACGATTTTAGACCAACCTCAGTGAAATTCCACGATGATTTACTTTGCCTACAATCAAATTGACAGGTAAACTCACTACAAAGGTAATTTACTGCTTCTTCTGTCTTCTAGCGTCTTATTGAAATCCTATCTCCGTTTACAAAGCAAACACACAGAATGAGCGAACCTTTACTATCGAGTTACGTAGGCAAATAGTTTTTTCGGTATTTGGTGGCATAGAGGCCAGACGTCACTTATGTATGGGGGCAAAGACAGCCACGCGTCGTATATTGAGTGTCATATGGAAAGGGATGCCTCACTAGATTACTGAGCTAGCAACGGCTTGGTCACCCCTACATTTTGGAAGACATTAGCCCAAGGGATTGTTTTTTTAAATTTATACCGCAGCCATTGATTTTTAAACAATAGGAATTATCATGAAAGTARTTTAGACTGGCTCTTATTACTAAATTTTGTTTTCTAGGGCTATCAATGCCACAATCTTTTTAATCCTCTATCAGTGTAAGTGTTAGGCTCTTAGCAAGAACACTAGCCGGGTGATTCGTGTACTTGTTATTAAAGGTGTTTGAAATGTTAAGAAAAACAGGATATTAAATCATCAGTATCTGTCTGATTACCGAGACATTTAAGCCGCCACTAAACCAGACCCGAATAAAGTCCATTTCTTTTTCAGTATCTCGATAATCTTATATATAATAGGATTCCTATATTAGAAATGACATTGCCGTCCGATTCGCCTCTCAAAATAAAGAAATAAAGATTACATTTTCTAATAACTTAATAACTCTAATATTTATAACATATATATATATATATTTATAACATATTTATAACATATAACATATATAAAAATTCTGCAAAAAGCATGGACCACGGGCTTTTCGTCTGAATATACTGGTTACATCATCCTTTTGTTCTTATGCGCTTTATATACTAGTTGTATGGCTATTCATTCTTTACTTTTTTACTTTTTATCCTGTATATATCTTTATTTTTCTGAAGAAAGCCGATGGCCGAAACGTTAAATACATTTTTTTGGAAAAGTTAGAAGTTGCCTGTTTTCTCTTTTTACTTTATGAAGAGAACAGACTGTTGAATTCTTTGAAATCCTTCTACTGGAAGTTCATCGTTGATCTACCATCTATATTCAAGTTTATGTATTATARCCGAATCACTAAAACTTTGACACTTGAACGATATATATACATATCCCCCTTTCTTCTATTGTCTTACCTGGATTTTCAAGGAAAGACAATAGGAAAAAGGGGATAAATATATATGTATATATATCGCTAAATTGTCAAAGTTTTAGCAATTTGGTGTATATAGAAACGTTGTAGTATACATTTATACATATATCTAATTTATTCAGTATATTTAATGATATGGAAAACAGAAAAATCGCTTTATTTCTTGTTTGTTTCATTCAATGACTGTCAAAATATTTTTTTCTTGTCTATTAGATCGTACAGATTATAAATCAGTTGGTTTTAAGCGTTGAAAATGGTTATTTTACATTATGCATCTTATTAGCTATTTGTATAAATGTTCATACATTCATACACTCATACATATACACACATACATACATACAAACATGCATACATATAGTAAATGGATATAAATATAACTATATAATAAAATATCAAGCTAAAAACATACTTCAAATGTAAAATATAGATTTAAAATATGCACTGTATAAATATTTCTTGATATGGCTAATCACTAAATGCCGTTATTTGAAAAAGGTCAGTTTTTACATGTTTCTTAAAAGCTGTGGCCGACTCAATAGATTAAGAATTCAGCATTAAGAAAGTCCATTGATTTGGCTGTCGCACATTATTGTATATGTTATAAAGTGCACACGCCCTAATARTGCATAAATTAAATTCGATCAAATGGTTCGATGAAATGTTTTATCTTCCTCAAACTCTAAAAGCTCCGAAACAAAATCGGTGAACCCTATTTTTTATTACGTATATTGTATATATATACTTTTATACTCTTGGTAGAAACTTTAAATAAAATTTTATTAAGAGGAAATTTTTTTTCAATAATGAGCAAATGGCAAAAAGCGCCAAAAACTAGACTTTCGTATGAGTTTTGATATACAATTTTCGTTTTGGGTTAACACTCAGAACCTTTTTAAACAGTTAGAAACTGATGTGCTATGATAAAATGCCTGTTTGAAGCAATATTTTCAATTGTGCAAAGATGTTGTTGCATTTGTGTTATAATGCTGCTTTGTCAGGCTTTTTTATAGAAAATATATGGGAAATAAGCAAATGAAGGCCTAAACCTCATTTTCGAATAAVATTTTTGCTTTGGGTTAACACTTTGATTCCACTTTCATCGGTCATCTCCACTTTCAAACAAGTTAAATTTTCTGAATAACAAGATTTTAGCCTTGTACAACAGCCTTTCTTCAAGATAATACTTTTTGGCGCTCACTGCTTGAACACGAAAAGAATTCTCTCTTAAACAAATTTACGAGAGATCTAGAAACTTATATGATGACGAAAACTGAAGCACATTTTGTAGTAAATCGTACTATTACTGTACGCTAAAGCTTCTCATGTTAGGATTACTCATCTGGTCTATTAATCCAGTAGGTTTTACACGAGTTGTTCCACGAATATTCTGATTTTCCTTTCTGGCAAGCGAATAAATCTGCATGATAGGTTTTCAAAAATTATGATGTAAATAAAGCGCATTTTATATCAAAATTTGCTGCTCTTTCATGACTTATTATGCGTAATTTATAGGAAAGAGCATTTTACCTCTAAATGATGGTCCATTAGCAGGGGATGTGACAGCTACTGCTAAACTAAGTTTTTAAGTGAGTGACCGCCCCCAATTTTTTCATTTGCTTATTTTATTGTGGTATGATAAAAGTTTAAAAAAGACACCTGACGAGGGTTTCTTTTCTCGTGTTACACGCGACAATTTTCAGCGTCAATTGTTTGCGATACGCGTTGCCAACTGTTAATACATGTTACACGAGCCGTTTTTTCGCGCATCATTGTAACGAAGTGAACGTGTTACACGCGACAATTTTTCGCGATTTTGTTCAAATTGAAACACTTCCTCGACCTCTTTTAAAGCTTGTTTTTTTACGTCTTTTGTTTGCTTGTCATGTGGAGACCACAGACAAGGCTTTGCTTTGATGAACGATATAAACGTCAGACGTGCTGCATCATCTAAGCGGCTTTGGTCAACTAACAATTCATCAACATCTCTCAAATTTTYGTCTTCTTCAATTAACGCCGCCATCTTGTTTGTTGACATCAGCCCGGTACTTGAACTGCATTCTGGGTAGGTATTGCGCGGAATATTGTCGACGAACCTGTTACACGCATCAGCTTGCTGAAAATTCGTCATTTCGCGTTGCGAGATTTTGAAGGAGAATCAAAAACTTGCAACGTGTTGCCGTATCCGAAAATCTACGCGCGCGGGTGTGTTAAACGCATCAATTTTTTGCGCAACGGCGTATCGCGAAAAATCGACGCGAAAAATCGTCGCGTGTAACATCACCTTTATGCCCATGAGAGTCTTTTTTAAGCGAGAGAGGGAGAGTACAAACCCATAAATCCACAATCTTCAATTTAAACACTAGTCTTTATAATCAGAAAGATCGCTTGCCTGAACACTAATAAGGAGGACATTATTGGGTCTGTGCACGTGATGGATAGGGTCAGGTTTGTATTGTTTCCAAGATGGCATCTATTTTGTCTCATAAAACAGCCCAAGGATGAGGACGAGGAGGCTTGTAAAGCAAAGCAATCCTCACTAGTACTTCCAGGAGAACTCGAAACTGACTGTAAAGAGATCTTTTGAAAATAAACAAATCGAAGCCAGAGAAAAACTGCATTTAAAAGTAGCAATCACGGCACGTAGCCATCTTTTACCAAAAAACCGAAGGTACAGTACTCCAAGAACTACAGATGATCCAACTAAGTGCTTGCCAACAACCTTAACACACACCCAAACATATGTAGATTTCCATGGAAAACAAAAACGCTTCTAGTTGTGCAGAAAGAATGTTGTCGCGCCTCCTACGGGTGCAGAGATTATAAGTTCTTCAAGTTAACAACAGGGTGCTTGAGGAACATTAGTATGGCTTGGATAAACTACAAGATCAAACCCTAGATAATCTTCCTCACAGCCGGATAAACGGATGTCTTTTGAATATTCAAAATATCGCCAACATTTATATACCGCTTGCAAATAACGATAAGAAATTTAAAACATGACCAGGAGTAATGGAATACCACTTGAAATCCTCAGTTGAAATTAACTGTTGAGCCAATCAACCAATTACAATGTTTTAATTTTTCAGTCTTTCTATTTCCATTCTAAAGTTAACCTGAAGCTTATCATTTTCTTTCTCCTGTACCATATGATCCGCTAGAACCTTTTCTTGCATCAAGCCTCAAGCATCGAAGCTAACGGGCCTTTTATATATATAATTATTATTACCGGCCGTAGATAAAAAAGCGTAAACCTTAAAGCGAAGTTAGTCGATGAACTAAACATTTCGTGATTGAAAACCAACAATGACTTTACAGCGGTTTTGATAAAACATTATTGCGCGTGCAATCGAATAAATGTGGCGATAAGAGCTTTCGCACTGGACTGAATGAACAACACATGACGTCAGTCACTATCATGAAACACTTCAAGAAAAAAGATCAGTAAAAACGTATCAGGCAATGCATGTTTAAGAATCGGTAAAAAAAAGACTATTATTATTGTCCTCATATGCATGCTATCTAACAATTATCATTCGACGTCAAGTTTGAATTTTYAGATTCACTGTTCTACCCATGAATTATGAAACCAAAATGTATAGGTGTGGGGTAGGAAGAATCAAATTGAAGTATGTGCATGATTCAAACCTAGTACCCCGGTATGGAGAGTTGCATCATTGTATGAGCTAAACCAGGGAGGAATACCTTACTTGGCAACCAAAGTTGAGAATTATAAACTCGAGCGACTTTATTCGTCTATTTAAATTTTAAAAAAAAAACACCTAAAAGTTGTTTGACATTTGTTTTACTTGACTACCACTTGAGAAATAAACTTAAGCGACTTTCTTTGACTCTGAGTTGACCGGGATTAAAGTTTCAATGAACAAAGACAGGAATCACAGAA